TTGCACATAGAAGGCTTATCAATAAACTGCAATCTTTAAGTTTGGATTCAAATATTGTTGAATGGGTAAGGCAGTGGCTGAGTGACAGGCAACAGAGGGTTGTAGTTAATGGAATATATTCGAAGCTTGGACTTGTCACCAGTGGGGTACCTCAGGGATCTGTACTTGGACCCATTCTCTTTAATATTTTTATTAGTGATATTGCAGAAGGTCTTGATGGTAAGGTATGTCTTTTTGCTGATGATACTAAGATATGTAACAGGGTTGATGTTCCAGGAGGGATAAGCCAAATGACAAATGATTTAGGTAAACTAGAAAAATGGTCAGAATTGTGGCAACTGACATTTAATGTGGATAAGTGCAAGATAATGCAACTTGTACGTAAAAACCCAAGGGCAGAGCACAGAATATTTGATAGAGTCCTAACCTCAACATATGAGGAAAGGGATTTAGGGGTGATTATTTCTGATGACTTAAAGGTAGGCAGACAATGTAATAGAGCAGCAGGAAATGCTAGCAGAATGCTTAGTTGTATAGGGAGAGGTATTAGCAGTAGAAAGAGGTATTAGAAGAGAAAAAGTGCTCATGCCATTGTACAGAACACGAGAAAGACGAGACGGGGGGATATGATAGAAACATTTAAATACATAAAGGGAATCAACACAGTAAAGGAGGAGACATGTTTAAAAGAAGAAAAACTACCACAACAAGAGGACATAGTCTTAAATTAGAGGGACAAAGGTTTAAAAATAATATCAGGATGTATTACTTTACTGAGAGGGTAGTGGATGCATGGAATAGCCTTCCAGCTGAAGTGGTAGAGGTTAACACAGTAAAGGAGTTTAAGCATGCGTGGGATAGGCATAAGGCTATCCTAACTGTAAGATAAGGCTAGGGACTAATGAAAGTATTTAGAAAATTGGGCAGACTAGATGGGCCGAATGGTTCTTATCTGCCGTCACATTCTATGTTTCTATGTTTAGGTTGCTAGAATAAGACCTGCCAAAAATGGGGTACATTGACATTGTGGCAGGATTATGTAATGTATAGTCATATACAGTAACTAAATCCCCATTATTTTTGCCTACGTCAGGTGTTTTGTTTTAAAAGAAAACAATTGTATTTTGTGAGCTTTGAAGCTTGTGAGTGGGTGTTCTGTTATTCTGTATGTTGTATTAATTGGTCCTAGCAGCACTGGTATAATGTGTTAATGTTTAAATAAGTGCAGCCTTTCTGATTTCAATTATATTATCACCTAGCACCTATCATCCTGGTGCCACAAATTTTTCAGACTAATTGTACAGTCCTGGTTGCATTGTCTCGGTTAACCAGAATAGTTGGTCGTTTCTGTTGCCTTGAGCCACGTTCCACAGGAACAATGCCATCCATGACTCCTCCTGTCACAGTAAATTTATTTGTAAATTTTGTGTTTTATTTTGTGGATCTTCTTGAGGGTGGGTCAGTGTTAAATAAAGGTACAGGTTAAGGTTCACCTGGATCGCTTGCTTATGTTTGCTCCAAAAGAAAGAGGCTAATCGTAGGTGCTGCACATTCCCATCAGGAATCTGGTTGTCCATTCAGAACATTAAGCTTCATCCATCATACATTATCCTGCAATTTACGCAATACTTTTCACGTTTCATTACTTAAATCTCTGACCTGCAATCATTTTCAAATTCTGCTTTTTTACCTTGAGAAATAATATGTCCAACAGATGATTAATTCTCTCTTCTCTAGAGGCAATTTGCAATATTTGGTTTATTGAAAGGTATATGGTCCCGAGAAAAGATCCTGCACTAATGTTTGCATCAAAAATGTGCACACACCAAAAATAATGCAGCCATGTCAATTAAGCCACAGTCAGCCAATCATCTCTCTCTTATATTTATGCATCTGCATCAATTTAGCCATGGTCGAGGCAATTTCGATGCAGTAGCACATTCACAAGGTTACAGCTGTGACATTCAGGCTCTAAAATAATGTAAATAATGCAAGCCACCTTTTATAGGTTTTGATGTTGGCATCCTAATTTACACAAAAATTACACAAAAAAGACGGAAGGACCTGGGCCTATATAAACTATCAGCTTTAACTCAAAAAAATAAAATAATTTCACAGCCCTTAAGTGTGTTATCATGTAGAAACATAGATACATAGAATGTGACGGCAGATAAGAACCATTCAGCCCATCTAGCCTGCCTAATTTTCTAAATTCTTTCTTTAGTCCCTTGCCTTATCTTACAGCTAGGATAGCCTTATGCCCATCTCACGCGTGCTTAAACTCCTGTATTAGTCTTGTCGTTCCTGTGTGCTAGACTAAGCTGCATCCCTGACTTCAACTTTATCATGTCCAGTGTTCTCATGTACTGGATTCTGCTACATCCCTGGTATTGACATTATGCTGTCCAGTGTGTTCCTACATCCCCGACTTGGTGTCAAGGTGGCGGTCCGATGCCCGGGACCCAGACACTGTCCGGGCGGCGGAGCGTGGACCAGGACCCAGTATGCCCGATGTTCAGAGTAGCAGTCACAGTGTGGAGGTGGATTAGCAGGGTCTGGTACAGGGTAACCGCACGCCCCCTGGTGTTGAGCACCAGCGATTGTGCAGCCACATACCAGAACCTTGATTCAGCTTATGCGGATCCCAGGAACTAGGAGCTTGGAATTAAGCAGACCTCCCAGGAGCTGAATAGGGAGGCTCTGCAGCAAGAGTGTATCCAGTACAGAAGCAAGGCAAGACTAGAGATAGGCACCAAACATGGAAACAAGACAGAACTAATAGAACCCAGAACCGGAGAAGGATAGAAAGCTAAACCCAAAACATGTACACAATACATAAGGGAACATTAACTGAACAGGGACAGGACAGGGCTGTACATGGACTGGGTAAACAAAATAAAACAAGACAAGATATAATAGGCAAAACAAGAGGAGACATAACTAAGCACTATATATGAAAATCATGGGGATTTAGTCACATTATATGATCATACATTGCATAAGCCTGCCACAACGCCAATGTACCCCATATCTGTCAGGTCCTACACTGCCTAATGTTCGCTAAAAGAACCATACTAAACCACAATAGCACTTACCTGCAAGAAAGGGCAGAAGCTTTGAGCAGCTGCCTGCCGGACACTGAAACAAAAGGAATGATGGAAAACAAATGGGTGTGGCAACATAAAACAAACATTTAAATGAATCCAAGAGACTGGGAAATCCAGGGACGGAATATAAGAATGGACCCAGAAATCCCAGCATAAAGAAAACCAGACATAGACTAGAAAACCAGAAAAACCAAGAAAAACTCTGATACCAGAAGCCAAGTCAGACATCAGAACAGAGCAGAGCAGATCCTGACACTTTGTTCTTTGTCCTGGTCCTGTGTTCGCTTTTCATAACCTGTTTATTATTTGCTTGTCTAATCCTGGACTGTGTTTTGATTAGGTTAGCACTGTTCCTTCTTATTTCCATGTGAGGTCCTGTAATATGCCTGTCTATCCTTTCCAACTGTGTCGTATGCTTAGATTGTTGTTGTATACATTCCTTATCCTGACAGTCCTAAAGCTGAGACAGAAACATTTTTGATAAAAAAAAAAAAAAGATCATCCATACAAGTAAAGTTACATTTTCTTACTTATAATTATTTGTTCCTGGAACTTTATTTTTCCCATTACAATCTTTTAAAATATTTCCAATTTTTAAATACTCTTCAGGGAAAATCAGACAAAAGGTAGAATATTTTGTTGGATATATTCAGACATAGGACCAGAAAGGGTTAAAATCTTTGTTTTTCTGTCTCCCATCTAAACACTTCCTTTCTTTTCTTTCCCTTTATTTTTGAATGATAGTTTATGTAATGAGCCTTCCATGCCTTCTCTGTATGAACTACTTATTCTTCTTATTTAACATTAGCCTTTCAAGGCTAGATTTCATGTTACCAGGTTCGATAGAGCAATTATGCTTTGTTTTTACATGTTTCCACAAACATCTGAAATCAGGGATCTCTTAATTACCATGTCTTATTTTTAAAAATACATTATTATTTGCCAGAAAAAAATGCATTTGTTCTACTTAGCATTGACGGTATGAAAAGGATATATTTCCTATTTATCTGAGTAAAGAGTAGAGAGGCACAACTTTATGCACATGAATGTGAATTGGGACTCTTTGATTGACATACCACTTCTTGCACGTCATCCGCTGCACAGTATGGGTCCAGAATAGCGAATGCAGTCCTGTATGTGTAATGCATTATACAACAGCTATTATTACATGTCCTAATGAGTTTAATTAGATAACAGTTTCCTTTTCACCTAGTTAAAGCAACAATAGGATTAATGTATCTTAATGTATTTTAACACAATCTGAAAGAAACAACCAGTTCACAAACTGGTGCTATTTCCAGACCAAAATTACTAATGAGCATGACCTAAATAGTGCTTAATGCAAACACCATGTGTAGACCTCACCATGTACATTACTGTATTGTGTTCTTAGTTTACAGAAACCAGGAAAATTATGCATGTTTTATTCATAGCTTACTTTTCGATTCAGTTTTCATGTACACGTCAGTCAATCAGTGGAAAATGAGAGTCATAATAAATCAGCAGTTCTGGGCATATATTGCTGTTCAGGAAAAAAATAAAAATTCTTGATTTCTGCAATCTTAGAAATATTTGAGTTTATAAAGTCTAAGCCACTATATGGTATCACTTATATTGACAGGTGTTAAATGTTTGCTAAGAATCAAAGAGATATTTTTGTCAATATGCATCAACTGTGACACAATAGCTGACAACATATCTATGTACAGAGAGAGAGAGAGATAATATATACAAAAAATAGATAGCTTGGCACTCACCCTATCTCCAATTCAGTATGTGTCTCTTAATGCCTTGGTGCAATCCCACGTTATGGAGTATACAGACAGGAATAAGAGATGCACTCTCAGGACTTTTACAATAAATCTATAGGTTTTTATTAAAACAAAGATTACATCATCTGATCGACGTTTCGACCCTACAGGGTCTTCCTCAAGATCTTGAGGAAGACCCTGTAGGGTCGAAGATCTTGAGCAAGATCTTGAGGAAGACCCTGTAGGGTCGAAACGTCGATCAGATGATGTAATCTTTGTTTTAATAAAAACCTATAGATTTATTGTAAAAGTCCCGAGAGTGTATCTCTTATTCCTGTCTATATATATATATATAGATACTTCTTTGATCCTGATGATAGTCCCGAATGGAGGAGTGAAACGTTGATTACTATTTCTTCATAATAAGGAATTGGACTTAAAAGACCATGAGTGCTGACACATCTTTGGATATATGGATACAGAACCCAGGCTACACAGCACCCAGCAATAAAAAGGGATATTTTAGCAAGAGTGCAAGAGAACCACTGACTTTTATATATATATATATTTACAGAGCGAGAGAGAGAGAGAGAACGAAACAGTATTGTTTATATAATTTTAAAAAATGGTGATCCATGTATTGTGGGAAAATAATGTCCATTGTCTTTAAATAAGTTTGAGACCATATAATAAATCTCGTGGTCATGCGAAATATATCCAGAATTTAGAGCTGGCATTATTTCATCTTAGTCGAAGCTTCACAGTTATCTAGCTAATGCCATTATTTTACTCTTTCTTTCCATCACCTCAGCTCCTCTCCCAACATATCACTATTGTTGGAGGACTTTGTAACTGTGGTGGGGAATACTCCAATCATTGAGAAGATTCTGTGCCGGAGCTGCGATCGCACACGCAATCGTGACTTTCCAACGCTCCACCATGAGCTGTAACATAGCTCATTGAGAAGGGGCAAGGCAGATGTATGCTCACACAGCATGCCTGCCACTTCTGTTAGCTCTGTGTAGCTAGAGCAAGCAGAAGAAATCACCCTACTCCCCCTGCCCTCCCCCACCCGGCTTTCTAAATGACAGCCAGCAAGGTGTTTTTGCCCATAATTATAAAAGTGCCAATTTCTGCTGAAATCACAACTATGACAGGCTCCGGACACATAACGTGCTTCAACAAGCCTAAGTGTCTTATCTGTGTTGAGTGTTACTTTAAATTAAAAAGGTTGCAACTGCAAACAGCCACTACCCTAAATGGCCCCTTCCACCAATATCAGGCTCACTGGACATAATGCACAGAGTGCACAGATAATGTAATAATGCACAGATTCTATTACCTAGAACATGATCTGCCTAATCTTCTCTATTAGATTATTGAATTATTGATAAAAAAAAAAGTATCTTGATAAAAGTCCACTATGAATAGACTTGTCACTTGTATTAACACATATTGGGTAACTGCTATAAAAAGCAAATAAAAGCAGTTACTTTCACAAATATATACAAATATAATCCATTTGTTCAGTGTGTTATATTTTTCCAGAAGACCATTAATGCATTACCTTGGAGATATCTTCGAGTGCAGGACCTCAAACATACATACATAAAGAGGATGAGCTAATTATTTCTTGGTTGTCTGTTGATGCATGTAATTTATTCCTGTCAGTACTAATGACATGTTGGGAATGCAATGATAAAGCAGGATTTTCCTAAGAGTCCCCTGAAGGGTATAAGAAGCACACAATTAGAATAAGAACGTTGGGTAGAGGGGATAATGCACGTTTGGAATGGAATATATGCATATGGATGATGTCACTAAATGTACCACTAGGTGGCGGTAGTACTCCTCCACAAATTCTTGCAGTTCTCTCTTTGGCTCAACGCTAGGTGTCACCTGAATGCCATCTGCCAGGAAGGAGAGGCGCTAGGATGCTGCTATAAAAGTGTCTTCTTTGACACATGACATGCAAAGTAAAAACTTGGCAACCGTGCAAGGGATGGCTTCACTAATATCTTATAGCCACTTTCTCACATCGCCTTTAAATCGGACAAAAGACGAAATGAAGCACGATATGAACTAAAGCTACTTGTCTCAAGGAATACACGTACTCTAGAAGTGTCACCAGCCAGGAATCCGTCAATCAGTGGAAAATGAGAGTCAATGTAAGCACATTGAATGGATCCCTGCATATCCCCAAAGATCTGACACTGGATCGTCCGCCCTGGGTAGCGACTGCCCTGGCTGTCATACTCATCTTTACCATCGTCATTGATATTTTGGGGAATCTTCTGGTCATACTCTCTGTTTTCAGAAACAGAAAGCTCAGGAACGCAGGTAAGTCAGAGGACCCACTATTGATCTGTGATTAACTTCTGTGTGGAGCCGGTAGTCCTGTATGGACTGTATAGAACATTGATCAGGTTGTTACAGAACTGCAAGCATTATAAATCATAATTCTGTCATTATTGTTACAATAATAATAATAATAATAAGTGTAAATATTATTATTATTATTATTATTATTATTGTTACTATTATTCTCTGGGTACAGTAGAATCCCCCAATGATTATAATTATTATTCTTATTCTTTAGGTACAGTAGAATCCCCCAATGATTTCTGGACTATCATATTTTAGTAACCAATAATTTCATGGTTGGAACGTAACTTACTATAGATTAATTACCATGCATTGTTTTTCAGCTGAATTGAATTTGTCTAAATACATGTTAGAGGTATTTGTGATATATGATAATACCCATAGGGGCAGGCTGGTGGTTTAATAAGAGCTAATTGAATGTGTCCCATGTAGTAACAGAAACTAGCAGTCTATTGAATTGAATTAAAACTCAGTGCTGCTGTACAGGTATCCATTTACTACAGTGACACTTGCTTGTTGGCTTCATCCTTTGTACATGTCTCTTTGGCATTAATGTACATGTGGGTTAGATGTGCATATAACAACTGTTCTAATCTGTCTTTTGTTTTGTGTGGTTTCTTTTTTTAAATGCTGATCCTACACATTTTTAGAGATGTGTGATTCTGCCAACACTTTATGGAAATGTTAAAATTTATGTTCTAACACTCAGAGTTCATAATGTATGCATATTAATTAGCCTACATGCTTAGCTATACAAATGAGGCTATTAATTGTACAAGCTGTCATTTACCAGGTAAATTGTGAACCCTCTACATGACTATATATTGCAGTGTGAATTTAGGAATAATACCCCATAATTGTGCTGTCAGGTGAAATTTCATTCCACTGCCCCAACAACATATGAGGAGAGATATATCTTTTACCCCTCTGGTCTACCAGGGTGAGCAATATGCAAACTATGTATGTCAGAGCTTCTGATAAGCACATTTAGGATCAGAATAGTATCTGGTTATGCTGTGTCAATCCTCTTGCCAAATACTTTGGCAAAAAGCTTTAACACACAACTGTTGACACCAGGACCAAGTCACATATATGCTACAGGATCCAGAGATCATTTATATTAGAATAAATTTTCCTTTAATCATTTCAGCAAAGCTTTCAGTATAGATTGTATGCTTAGATCTCTGCTAAACTGCTTGGACTTAGAATGTTTTAAAGTGGTATATGCTCTTTGATGTGGATTTTGACAGATGTGGATTTTGACAGATGCATGTCTTACGATTAAGTCAAATATAAAACAATTTTGGTTTTCATTGTGATGTCAAGACCTTCATCTATAAAATGCATTGCATGACATTGATTTAGCAATTTGGAAAAAACAGAAGCTTAACGGTTTTCTCTCATTTCTCTTTGCTCTGTATTGTGGGGACAAAGAGGTTTCATTAGATAAATTCTGTATCATTATCTGTTTTTTTTTACACTTTTTGAACTTTTCAATGCTTTCATTTGCAATAAATGGGTATTTTATTCATATTCAATTTCTCAGTCATTCTGTCAATTCTAGAGGCGCAGCTGAATACTTACTGTTATTTTATGTTGTGACAAATTGACTAGTATACGGGAACTAGATCCAATATAAGCATTTCATTCTGAGCAGTATACATATAACTATCCCATTTCATCACACAGACTACTGAAGCTTGTGTGATATTGCCCAATGACTCTATGACATGTGCACATGCCCAAACACACACATCTCTTTTTTTGCAGTCCATTTAGAGATTATGCGGGACATCTTATAATTAGATGGGATTCATTGTAATTCTTATGTATTCATCTTAAGAACAAGCTGATATCTCTGTCACTGACGTAGCTCTGTTAACAATTCTGTATTCAAATACAACACTGGGGCCATTCTGCCAAAGACAAACAAATGTCAGCCAATGTTAACATTCTATTAGTTTCACTTTATATTTCTTAATATAAATGAAAATTTGATAAACACAGCTGCTACGTTGCTATATTTGCTTCTTAAATGCCCATAAGCAAAACATATGAGAATCCCCTTCCTCTGAAGCTGTGAACCCACCCCGTGTAAAAATCCCTTGTGAAATGTAATAAACTAGCATGTGAAACATAATTCTGTTTGTGTAGAGCAGGCATAGGCAACCTTCGACACTCCAGAAGTTTTGTACTACACATCCCATGATGCTTTGCAAGCACTATGCATGTCAAAGCATTATGGGGGATGTAGTCCAAAACATCTGGAGTGACGAAGGTTCCCTATCCCTGGTGTAGAGTATAGAACTGTAGGTTATATTGTTGCTGGTTTGATGTGATGAAAAACTTTTCCTTTAAGTATCTGGTAGCCAAATGTCCACTAAGTAAGTAGCCTTAGTGGTACATAAGTTAATAGAGACTCTCTTGACCTGGGCCTACAATGTTTTATTTCTACATTTTGTTATGATATACTTTATATAAATATATGTCAGACAAGATATCGGATTGACACTCCATTGTCTATAGCATCTTTTCTGGGCACATGCCCTGCAGGACCATTCCAGCCTATATACCCTATTCTAATACATCTGCATTGCCTTAAAGTTCCTTTTAACATGACCTAACTTGCTTCTCACTATTAGTTCCTGTATGGCTTTATATCGCTGTGCTGTATTGCTTATTGTACAATGCTATGGAGATGTTGGCGTCTTAGATGTTGGCATCAAAAAATTGTATATTAAACCCACTAAAACATTAGATTCAAATGATTTATCATGTTTAACTGTTCGTTTCAAAGCACAAATAATCCATTAGATAAAATCACATGTAAAACATAAACCAAGGATCACAGGTACAATCTGATCTTGAGAATAGTGCACTTTAATACGAAGAATTAACTAATCATACATTTTGTATTCATATTATGCATCAGAGGTCAAATCCAGTAAAACGTATTCAGAAAATCAATGTATAGAAACTTTGCTGGTAGATAAGACTAGTGTGGCTGTCTATAATCTTCCCATTTATTTCTTCAGTTTTAAATCCTTAGTTCTATTTAATATTCACTTTGTATCCCAGAGAGCCCAATGTCTGTCCTAAGGATTGGAGAATTTCCGTGCTGCGTTACAATTCGCTACGCTGCTGATTATCTGTTATCTAAATCCGAACAATTATATGGTGAAATTATGCCTGCTGCTACTTTTAAAAGTTCTCTTAACACTTTGAATACAGTTTTAAATATTTAATAACTTTTTTTTTTGCACCCAGGCATTGAAGCATTGCAATTTGGTGTTCACCTGACTTGAATGAAAGAGTTAGGGTTCATATCATGACTGTTTCAACCTCTGCTTTCAAATATATAAATGTTATTATATTAATATATTTTAGTATACATTTTGTTCTGGTAAATATTTTCTGTTTGTTTTCTGTGAGTCGACAAGTCAATTTGCAAAATTTATGCTAACAGAGCTGTTACTCGTGTTATGTTACTCATTACAATAATGTTATCTAGTGCCAGTATAATAAGATTGCAGTGGTCCTTCTGCTGTTTAGATTATAATGGTGCTTCAGTACAATGGTGTATTCATATATTTTATTCAAGGACATTAATTACACCCATCTAGTAAAGGTGAGCTTTTGAAAGGATTTTACCACTTATTATGTATGCATTTCACGGAAATAATAATAATAATAATAGTAACATGAATTTGGAGAAGAAAAATGAAAACTAACAATACATTGGGTGTCAGTTACAATAAACACCCACTATTTAAGGACCTTCCTAGGACCCACCAATCCTACATGTGGGTCATTGCTGTGTATGGGGAATGGAGCCTAATTTAACATAAGGTGTTTGTCTTTAGCTAAATAGCGATTGTAAAACAAGCATTACTTTTTATTTCAGTGTTTCTCTCGACTTACTCTTTTTCTTTGGAAAAGCAATCTTTAAATCCTCTCTAGTCAGAAACCCCAACCATAGCCTGTGCAGGTAATTTAGGGCTAATGCACATTTCTCATACAGATGTCATCTGCAAATGATGAGCGTCTAGTAAATGCAATCTCAAATGCTTTAAGCCATTCACATTAGACATATTAATTGCATTTGTATGCTACTTCTGATCAAAGGGGACCTAAATATGGCTGCCACCACAAAGTAAGAGTAAGTCAGGAGAGGGAATGAAAAAACCTGTTTGCGGATATGTATGAATTACAAAATACTACTCACAGAGCCCAAGTCACAGGTTTCTACCTCTACATCAACAAATAAACAAATGCAATCCTCTGGAGCTCTTCAACAAATACCGTATATACTCGAGTATAAGCCGACCCGAATATAAGCTGAGGCCCCTAATTTTACCCCAAAAAACTGGGAAAACGTATTGACTCGAGTATAAGTCTAGGGTGGGAAATGCAGCAGCTACTGGTAAATATCTAAATAAAATTAGATCCCAATAAAATTACATTAATTGAATATTTATTTACAGTGTGTGTATAGAATGAATGCAGAGTGTGTGTTGTGTGTAGTGTGTGTATATAATGCAGAATGTGTGTTTGCATGAATGCAGTGTGCGTGTATATAATGAATGCAGTGTGTGTGTTTGTGTGTAGTGTGTGTATATAATGCAGAGTGTGTGTTTGCATGAATGCAGTGTGCGTGTATATAATGAATGCAGTGTGTGTGTTTATGTGTAGTGTGTGTATATAATGCAGAGTCTGTTTGTATGAATGCAGTGTGTGTGTGTGTGTGTGTGTGTGTGTGTGTGTATATAATGAA